TGTTTTGCCAAGTAATTCTGTGGAGATCAAAGTTAGTCCAGGGGGTGTCTTCAGGTAGGGTGCTACCTGCTTCCTTCTAATTTATAAAAGTTCTGAGTTTGGAACTACCCCAGGCCTTTGTAGTTTTGAGATCACAAATGTAACATCAGGGAAAAGAAAGACACAGCTTTTTTACTGATCAGAAAATGGATGTTACTGAAGTCAGAGAATTCCATAACACAAAACGTGGTAGAAAGTGCTGTTTCAGAAAAGAAAGATCCAATCTCATGGTTTTGTGAGTATCTGTTTTTCTGAAGCCTCTGTGCTTTTAGTTATACTGGGGAGGGAAACTGAAAATACTTGAAAAGCTGCTTCATTTTTCTCCCAAACTGTATCAAAATTGTAGTTACATTTTTCCCTGATTCACTAAGTTTAATATGACTTTAAATGAAGGGAATTCATTAGATACTACAGAAGGAGGTAAAGTGGTTTTCCAGATTTGTTTGAAAGAAAAACTCAATATTGCTATTGGTTTTTAGCATGCTCAAGGATAGGGGTGGGATGCTTTATAAACTCTAAATTAAATAAAGTTCCTGTGGTAAAATAATTTTTTTTTTAAATTCTAATCAGCAGTATGTAAAACAGAAATGGGGGAGATGATTGGTAAGTGAGGGAACAGGACTGAAATAAAGACATTAATCTGATTGCCTTGACACATGTTATTATTCACTGTACTCATGAAGGAAAAGAAGAGCATTTGAACAAAAACAGATACATGTTCTTGTGACTGAAGGCAGCCCTGTGTATTGGAATGATTTTAAATCATCTGAGCAAGAAAACAAAGACAAGAGAACTTTGCTGGCAATATATTGATGCTGAGACTTTCAGTGGAACTGCTGGAATCTGCAGATCTGCCACAGTATAAGGCTGGAATTATTAAGAACTGTGAAGGTGAAAATAGGCTTTATAAAATGAAAGTTGAGTCTAAAGGAAAGCAGTAATACCTTCATATTGGGAGTAATTTTGTCCCTTTTATTCCTAGGTGAAAATCTGAGAATATTCCATTTAAGTAGCTTCCAAGTAATCTATAAAATAAATACCTCAGTGATATTGTAGTTGTTCTCCTTCACAATAAACATTGCAGACCTATGACACCATGCTTGAAAAGAAAGCAAACAAGTTTTGGGCTACATTAAAATCATCTGAAAGACAGATAATTATCACCTGAATATGAAAAGAGGATCACAAGATAAGTGCAATATACATGTGTGCATGTGTGAGCCTACAGTGTTTAGCATTTGTTGTAACTATTCTATTTGTAAAATTATTTTTCTAAAGTATATTCTGATTATAAAAATTTATTATTAGGATACCCCTACTTTTACCCTATTTTCACACCATTATTTGCAAAAAAAAAAAATCTATGGTAGTCAGCACAAAATTCTATTCTGGTTTACTTGTGCAGAAAATATTTTAAATTGTTTTAGATTCCTTCTGTACTACAGGGTTTGTTGGGGTTTTTTTGTTGGTTGGCTGGTTTTTTTGCATTTTCTTGTTCTTCAAGTGATTTTTCATTACTTCTACATTATTCTGCAAAAGTAGAATAATAATCCACAGTATAGTAAGACATTAGAAAAAATTTTATTATTGCTAAAAAGCAGTGCACTAGAAAAAGAGTAAAAACACCAAGATCACTAACTCAGCTTTATTGGTGTATAGTCCCAGACTGTTGTCAAAGGAACCTTTATTGTTACTTTACCTTGAACATATAATATGCATAGTGGATGACCAGTATCCCTTTAATAAATATCAGTAATCAAAAATCTGAGGCCCAGCAAAATGAGAGAGAGAAAGGAAATAAACAGAGCAAAGTGTGTGTTACTTGCATTGCATATCTGCTTGCAGGATGGGGGAAATAATGAAATTGAGGTAATGTGTTGTTTCCTCTCTACTAACATTGTCTGTGTGTTCTGTCCTCAGAAATGTCATTAGTTGATGTTGGTTTCTTGTTCTTATTTTTATAAATATCTTGGACACTACCTGTCTTTTCAGAAGTTAATTGCTTAGGTGCATTTTAGTAACAAGCTTGAAATAACTCACTTAGAAAAAATATTGATTTATTTAACAAAAACCTTCCATCCTGGCATGCTTATGTGTACAAGCATATACAGTTTTACAGTATTTAACTCAGTCCTGCAGCAGCAGTTTAATTCATTTTCAGCAGATGTTCACATAGTTTTCCTGATAAAGATATAAAAAGTGTCTCCTTTTTATCTCCTATATAATGTGGTATTTTTGCAACTTTTTAACACAGAAAACTGAAAATTTGTTTTTACAGTCATATGCATATATATATATTTTAAGTGGCTCACATCAGTATAGGATCTGAATTTCTCTCTCTATCTCCTCTCCCTGAACTTGTTCCTTTAAGTGCTGCAAACTAAGGACTATCTATCACTGTATGGCAAGCCTCAGAGAAGTACAGGAATAAGCTATGAGTCTGATGTTGCTATGAGACTCCTGGAAGGTCTTTTCATACTAATTTGGAAAGAAAATATAATTTTTTTCAGGAATAATTGATCTATATCCTCTGTAGGTCTGTGAGCGTGTTTGAAAGCAGTAGTGCTGCTGCACGTGGAGCAATATGATAAACTAGTACAGTTGCCTAAGTTCAGAGAGGGGTTCTGAGTGGCTTTTTATGATGTGCTTTTGGCAACATTATTGGTACAGAACAAAGGACTGGAGAATCAGAACATTGAAGAAAAAGAGCAGGGAAATAGAAGGTTTTTTTTGGTCAAAGGGTACTTTAAAGGGATATTGGACTAAGCTGAGGGAACATAAACAGGGGTATGAAGCTATGTTAAAGGAAGAAATTCTGAATAGATATGTGTAAATAGGTAGTTTAGGGACTGAAATAGTCCACTGGAGGTGGTGAAGGAGAAGGAGCTTTTGGACTCTTTACTTTCCACTGTAGCCTCTAGACATGGAGAGGCCTGCTTTACCTTCTGCTCTGTACTGCAGATGAGCTGTGAACCATGCTGCTGCTTTATTTCAAAAACTTATTATTCATACCATATGACTCATGCCAGCTGTAGGAGTTGAAGGGATTACCATTGGAGCAGCATGACTTCCTTGTCCTGTGTGTGTGTTTTGAAATACTACATATTTTTGGGTTTTAGAGATCTGAGTTAAAGTACACTTTTTGTTGTAGAAAGACAGAAGTTATCACTAAGCAACCTTAACTCTGTGCTTATGACATTTTTATCTGCATATATTCAGATTCCATACAAAACAATAAAATGCTGTTTAGATTTAGTTCACCTAAGCCTATGGGGCATCCTGGGAATTTTGGGGCATTTCTTCATCTGCATCTTGAGAAGTTTCATTGCATGTTTTTCTCTATTAGGAATTTCCAGCATTTCCCCAGTCATGAGAGTTTTGGTTTTGTACAAAAAAAATAAAACTTTTGTGGAAAGGTAGGAAAGAAACCATAATTTTCTATAATAACAAAAAGATTAAGACTGTGTCAGTGTGTTGTGTGAGGGAAGCCATCTTCACTCTTTCTCTAGCTCAATGTGTAACCAGCATTTTGGTGAGTCTGAAGGTGAAAGATAGTTGCTTTTCCATCATATCATTTTACTGAGTGTTATTAAAGTAATTGCAGTCAAAAGAATGCAAGAGAAATAGTCTTCAGTAATAATGAGCAAGACTTGGACTTTTTCTGGGTTTTGTAGGGTTTTCTTCCTAAAAAGATTAGTGGGGTTTCCATAACCAAAACTCAAGTGCTTTAGTCTTCCTCGTGCATGATGCTGCATTAAATTAGTTTTTTTCAAGCATTCTTTTTTGTAATCATTTTCATATCTCTTTTTAAGTTTTTATCACATTTCTCCAAATAATTTTTATAGTATTTTAAGTACTTTGACTGTCTACAGCTGTACTACCAGAAAAGAAGTCATTGTAAGTTGCTTAACATTTCAGTGAAAATAAAAACTCTGTAAAGAAAGAAAATACATAGTTCATGTTGCATGATCAAAAGTTACTAAATTGCCCTATAGTTTCCAGAAGTTAAAATAAATTCTGCAGTCATGCAGCTGTGTATGTAGCTCCTAGCATGCTGGAAACATAAAGAGATCTTTCCAGCTTAGCTGTAAAACTACTTTCACAGAAACAATGGCTAAATAAGACACTGGTACAGACTGCAAGCAAGGAGTTCTTGCAGTTGTCTCCCCTTTACACATTTTCTAACATGCAATGATTTGCATTCCCCAGCTATGAGATAAGTAAACAGTGATTTTGACATAATAAAACTTTGAACTCATTTGTGACTCATCCCTGCATTAAAGACAAAGGATGTTTTTCTCCTCTTCCTGCCCATAGGATACAGCTGAGAAATTCTATTTAACATCAGCTGAAATTACTGAAAGCTCTTTGGCTAAATTCAGGAGTTGGATCAAGCAGGTTTTGTCTTTGAACTATACTCTGAAGAGAACAAATTTTTTTTTCCCTGTGCCTTGGCATTAAATGAGATATCACCTATTAATTTTCCACAATCAAAGCAGTGAGAATATTAGCATCAAAAGAAATTGACAAATAATAAATGATTCTTCTTCAAACTGACTTCCTTTACACCTGGTCTTCTATAAGGCAATACTGCATGTACATGCTAGAATAGTAGACAAGTCTTTACAAGATTGTAGCCTGATCTCTCAGTTTTATTATCTGTATTCTAAAATATTATTTATGATATATTGTGAATTGTTTACACATTCCACTGAGGTTCCACAGATAAATGTTTATTATTTATTAAGGATATTTTCCTTAATATTGTTAATATATATGTTAATTATTTCCTGTAATATTTAATATCCTTAATCTGCATACACTACTCTTCATAACTACAGTTTCATTAACAAAGTGGGGAGAGAATGTGTTTGTACCTGCATACAGCTTTTTAATCAGTAGCTTCTCTCTTTCTCCTTTAACTTTTCTAATATGGCTTATTTATTAATAATCCTTTACAGAAGAAACAGAGAACGAAGGATCTGTCCCAGCTGTTTCATTCATACAACCCATATGATCATAAGGTAAGAAAAAAATATACTATCTCAGTTTGTTGTTAAGAAAAATTCCAAACATTTGTGGTAACTATATTTCTTGTTTGATGCAAAATTGAGGAGAAATGATAAAATTGAAATTGCTGAGCATGTTACTTAAATTCTGCTGTCACATAAATGTTTCTTTGTTTCTTTAAGCCAAGCTTGAAAAGGTGCATTTTCTGATTGGTGAAACCAGTGACTCGCATTAACCTCGTAGAAGTATAATTTATAGACTGGCATTAAATCCTGCAAAGTGACTGCATGTGGTATTGAATTCCCCTCTTTTTTTTCCTCTGTGTTTAGGAACTGTGTTACCCTAGAGTATGTTGCTTAGCCTGTTGAGTCAATTAGGCCCTGAGATACGTGATACTAATGAATTATCTATTGATCACAAAAGCATCATTCAAAGAGGCTGCTGGGTGAACAGCAGTGGTGGTTTTCTTGGGGAAGAAATAGAAACACGCATCATTAGAACTTGTTTGTAACATCTAGGGGAAAAAAGAGGGTCCTTTCTCATTGCAATGTGAAATTAAAAAAAATATAAAGTTGTTACAAGAAGATTTTGGAGACCCGAGAGACAGAGATCACAGTATTTCTGTGCTATAGCTATGTCATGGGGTTCTTCTGGATGTTATGCAGAAGAGAGCATTAAGCAGCAGACTGAAGGAATTTTGAGTAAGTTTTAAAATATTTTCATGGTGTTCCTCCTATCTCTGATGCCTCTGTGGGCATATTCTTGTAACAAGTGCACAAAATCCTTTAAAAATTTGTCAGCAGTATGAGATGTCTGTCTTTGCTGCTTCTGTTTTGAGAAGTGGGAGTGATTTTGCAAGTATCCATTAAAACAAAGAAAGATTTGAAACATTTCTGTTGTTGTTGTTGTTGTTTAGACATTGCAAAGGAAAGTTCTGAACTCTATCTCTTCTTTTCCTGGCCATTTACCAAACATATTGGAAAAAACAGCTAGGTTTTATATTTGGGAGAAGGTGGCAGAAGTATGTATGTGCATCTATCTCTTTGTAGGAACACATGCACATATGCAACATATGTGTAACTACACATATGTCAATGAGAAACACAGTGTATAAATGAATGGATTAAATTTATCAGGCAGGTTGTTGCTGGAAGAGTTCTGTAGTTACCGGCCACTTGAAACTTTAGTTTAAAAATACATTGTAAAACAGCAGTTATATTCCATAGCTTTAATAATTTCAAGTTAAATTCATCTCTGCTTAGTACTTCTTTTATAAATAGTCTCACATTATTTACAAAGATTGGTGAAGCTGATATTAATGGCCTGTGAAAATGGCCTTAATGGAGAAACATGAAGAATAAAGGAAACTAGTGTGATAAGATTTTGAATGGGATTGTTGCTCCTTTGAATTGAAACATTTTGAGGTAAATGTAATAGTAAGTCAATTAAGATCTAATAAGGAGATGCAACTGGTGAACAAGAAACTTTGATATTCCTCTCCATGCCTTAATTCTCCTGTACAAAACACTTTTTATTCATAGTACAAGGAAATTCCATTATTCTTTTATTAGCACTTTTAATGGAACTTGGCCATTTGTAACTCCTGCTGTCTTCCTGCTCATATCCTTTGTGGCATTATATCAAAGTATTCTCAAATGATTTTGGCTGCAGTTGTGAGGACTTCTGCACTCTTTACAAATTAGTCATCACACAATGTGGAATGGAATATAAATGCTTAAATATATTCGCTTTTGATCTTTGTTTTAGGACCTTTAATATATTATTAAAAGTAGTACAATTGTTTGATGGGTGATTTTTGTACCTCCACTCTTTTGTTGCTTCCAAGCATATTCTGTATATATCTGAGAGTACAAGTGCAGGGGAAAGGACAAGTGAAAGTTTGTATTAAAGTTATGGCCTTTCCATATTTTCCATTTGACAGTGAAGGTTTTCCTTCTCCTAACTACTTCCTATTTGTAGGCTGCAGCAAGTTCACTGCAGATTTCTTGCTCTGTGCTTTTAATTTCCACCTCAGCTTCCAATTTCATGAGTATTGCAGTCTAGGGGAGGGCTTTTAATTTTTGTATTAAATCTAACATTAGTTGGGAATACAGTTATTTCTACTGGAGGTGTGTATTAGCTTTGCTCTAGTTCTATTTTGTTTGATTTACATGGCCAAAGGATTTGAGGGCAGGGCAGGGGCACATGTTGTTTGCTATTTTGTAGATCATTTTCAGGAAGTGTAAAAAGAAGATTTGATAATGACTTTGTGAAAGAGTTGGTGATGCAGGATCATGGCATGAGTGATTGGAATTAGTGGCTTCCAGGATTATTTCTTTCTTGATTAAACAATTTTTGTCTGAGAACCTTTCTAAAATAGATAAGAAGAAAAACTTAAGTTTGTGCTTAGTAGTAGTAGTTAAAACAGATGTGAAAATCTCATTAACTACAGTGGCTTAAACAAGACTTGCTACAAAGATTTGACAGTACTTCATCTTTTTCGGATGAGATATCTCACAGTAAGGAGAAAAATTAATCAGAACATCAGAAAGTGTTCATTCTTCCATGCTTGCATTTCACTCACTAAACCAGAAAGTGATATTTTGATGAAGTAGCTATACTAACCTTACTAACCTTGTTACTATTTATGCATGGTCAGGAGGCCAATAGCTCTTAGAAACAGTAACTGTCCCCCTGAAAATGTTACCTCAATATATATTTTCCAATCTAGTGTAACTTACAGCATCCTGAAAGACATTTAAATGCCTTCATTCCCAGATGAAAACCAAGGACTTTTATAGATGTGGAAACAAGGATTTACTTTCCCTTCCACTTCCAGGTGCTGAGTTTTATCTTTTATCCAATGAGGCCTTAATTCAGCAGCAGAGGAGGCAGAGCTTTCAAATTCCTCCTGCAGAAGGAATGGAAAAGAAGGAGAGATACTCTGCTGGTATCAGGAGAGAATTAGCTGAGCTCCTGTATTCTTTAATTCCTAAACAATGTAAATTACCATCTAGTTGCCCTTCTCATTATTCAGATAAAACCATTCAACAGCAAATCTCAAAAATTGCCCGTTATATACTTCTCCTATCCAGGCAGATTTGATCCTTCTCTCTTTTACCTAGTGTTACTGAAATGCTTTACAGAGCCTTTGACTACAGAACCTGCAGGTCTTTCAGATACTGTGCCACAGACAAAGCTCATTTTAGCCATTTTCGCATCAGTCTTTAATGCCTAGCAAATATATTGAATTCTTCATGTCAGGCACATAAAAAGAACTGCCTTTTCTCAGTTTTTTCTTTTGTTGTTCTTAAAATAAGTATCTTCTAAAATTCTTTCTTTTCAGAACTAAATAATTAGTTCTTTTCTGAACTAACTTAGGAAATGCTGAGCAATATCTCGTTCCAGGTGCGTGATTGCCATTTATTCAAACTTATTTCAGCTGGCATGTGTAAAAATACATAGCACTGTGTTTTTAGATTAAGCCAGTCCTTGTTCTGAAGTACTTGCTTTTCCATGTTTATGTAGAGTAAAAATATGTATGGTCTGGCTTTCTTGAGAGTTGAGTTCTGATTGCTGTGTATCTTTTCTCTAGTTAGCCATAGAGCAGCACTTCCAGTTTTAAATACAGTTAATCTTTTTCTAGGACCATCAGAAAAAGATTATAAAATTGACATCCTCATAAAGCTTTACCAACAACAACTTTAATGTTTTAAAATGTAAAAGCAGGTAGTTGAGAAGCTGTATTCTGCCAGTTTCCTGCAAGCTCACTTAATTCACTTAATGAAAGATTATGTTTGCACACAAGTAATTTCTGTTGAATGTTTTGTGTGTGTACGCTGTGAGGTTTCACTTTTCACACAGTAAGAATTTTATTCTGTCTGAAGTAGATATTTAGCTCAGAAATAATGGAATTTGAGCTCTCTCTGAAATTACCCTTGCTCTTTAAAATTTGTGAGCCAGTTGTTTTTAAAGCTGGTAAAGTAGCTGTTATAATAGTTTACCTGGTGAAGACAACAGGTTTTAAGCTTAATAGGAGTTTCAGGATCCAGTATGCACCTAATGGCCAAATTCAGAAGTGCAGAGCCCTAGTTCCATTTCTTTTTGTCAGATGAGTTTAAGCATTCAGTCTAGCCCTGGAGTGATTGTTTAAAACTATAATCCTCAATTTTTGCTCCGCAGAAGAACGTTTTTACATATTGTAATCACAGTATATCAGAACTACTACACATTTTGCTGCCTTGCTTTCTTGGGAGGCTACCCAGGGATACCTTAGGGCATGTCTGTACACGCCTCTGGCAGCACGGGGCTGTTACACTGAGAAATCCCCTGGGAGTTGTGCTTAAAACTCAGCTCCTTCTTTGCTTCTGCCTTTTGCAGCCTGAATCTCTTGCTGTACAATATATATGAATAAATATATGAAAAAATAAGGTCATGTCTTATAGCTTTAGAGATTTATTTTAGCATATACTGTGTCCAGCCCAGTAAGAAGTGTAGTCAACACTCATATGATTTGAAGAGTTTTTTGAGAGATTTTCTCCCAAAATGAAGGTGTGCTCAGGATTAAAAAAAATAGTTGCTATTTCAAAATGTGCTGTAATTGATGAAATTCTGCTAAAATAGTTGTAAAATCTTTAAGCCTCATGCTTCTAATGGTCTTTAATAATGTATTCTGGAAGTGTTAAAACATGCAAAAGAGCAAAATCCCGTAGACAATGCCTGTGTGTTTGGCAAGTTATATGGACCAATGTGTTGTGATACACAATTAAGTGACAGAAAATATTTTCTTGGTTTTTTGAGGATTTTTTTGTCAGCTCTTAGCCTCATAAGCAATTTTGGGAAGCAGGGAGTTATGTCCTGTTGTCTTTGGTAAGGGTAGATATGTGCATAATTCACTCAAGGAACATTAATGACAAGATTATAACAAGGCTATGCTTAAGGTACTAATGGCTGCTGCTACTTAAAAGACCTATGATGTTTTCAAGCAATTATTTCAATAGTACACAGACCTTAT